GGAAAGACCTTATCAAAAGGACAGCAGTCTATAAACAGCTTATTTTGCTCATATATTTAAAAAAAAAAACTCCCTAGTTGGTTCTCACAATGCTTGTTAATCTGCTTTAGTTGTACCTCAGGCTGTTCAGCATTACAGGTTTTAACTGTAGTTATATGGTGGTCTCTAGAGAAACAGATGAGGAAGTTCCTACTGCTCACTAAGAAAATAGTGCTGTAATCTTCCAATTCATAGGAAAAGGCATTATTAAAGTATTGAAATGTATACTAGAATGCCTGGAGTGTCTCCTGAAATACTTTAGTCTTCACATTTCTAGAACTTTACCATCTTTAAAGGGATTTTGTGGTTATGTTGTGAAAATTTGATTAAGACCTGGGTGTTTATGGCTAACACTTATAAACTTGTTTGATTAGTGGTTTTGCATTAAACTGAATTTAAACAAATTATCTCTTTCCTTCCCATCTTTCACCTGTATCTTTTTTTTTTTATTTTTTTATTTTTTTAGAAGACAGTCCTTGGAAAGCTTTAAATGGGGGTTGCTCAATCCAGACTGATACGACCAGGAATTCAGCTTACCCTTTCCCAGTGTGCCCGTTCAGTACAGGCACGGCCAATAATGGTAGTCTGCAATGGCAGCAAGAATCTTCCAGTACGTCCATGGTGTCGGGATGGATAAGTGAATTAAACCTTAACGAAAATTCAGGTCAGCCGTTGGCACCACCAACAAAACGCCACTGTAGATCCCTCTCTGAGCCGGATGAGCTGGCTCGCTGTCGCTCCCCGTGGAAACCTGGCAGCTCGAAAGTCTGGACTCCTGTGTCAAAGAGACGGTGTAATAGTGGTGGTAGTGCTACTTTGCAACGCTGCAACAGTCACGGAAGTGCGACCTTACAGAGAAGCACAAGTATCAGTCTGCCACAAAACATACTGTCATTAAATAACGTCTTCACTATCACCAGCTTCAATACGTCACCAGTACCCAGACCTTCCTCGGCGAGCAGTGGTTTTGTGGACAGTAGCGAGGGAAGCACAAGTTCGAGCACCCGCTGGAATTCTGGAGGGCCTTGTGACTTTAACCCAAGGCGGCGCCTCTCCCTCTCCCAGGAGCACATCACCGAGACAGGGAATCTCTTGCCTTCAGCTAACAGCACTCCCACCTCCACACCCGAGCTCAGTCGGCGTCAAGGCTTGTTGAGATGCCGCTCGCAGCCTTGCGTTCTGAATGAGAAGAAAAGTCGGCTAAAGCGCAGACGGGAGGAGGATGTACGATGGAACAGGCCATCGTTAGACTTTTTTAAAATGACACGGGTGAGATTTTCTTTTCCTCGGTGTGTGAAAAGAACTTGTTACAGAGAGGCGGTTTCTAGATAAACCAAATTAATTTGTAGTTGTTACAGCTTTGTTTGTGTTCTAGTACTGGCATCTATATCTTCAGCAGTACAGCAGGGCTTCTCACGCTTGTCAAAGCCATGCCTTACAGCCCGCTTTCTGAAGTACAGTCTATTTGATAAAGTACAAAGAGCTGTGAAAAGATGCTTTAAGCAGAGGCCAAAAAAGGGCTTGTTTTGAAAATGCAATAAAGCATAGGGAAGAAGGTAGACTGGGTAGCAAAAAAAAAAGTTAATACCAGTGAGTTAACGAAGAACAGCGTGCAGCCATTTTTAAGTTATCGTGGTGCAAATCTATTGGGTTAAGCCTCTCCTTAAAAGTGTGAGTAAATCCATAAAGCTAAAGAAGAGCAAGCAGAACCCTACATAAATGTATGTAACCAAAGAAACTGCTGGTAAGCTATAAGTGATGGAAGTAGTTTTCTAATACAGCAATTCTAGATGTGCCAGCTCAGGAGGGGTGTTTTACTCTCACCAGAACTCCACCTCTCTCCACAGCTGGGAGTAAAGATGTTGGTTTAAAAACTAGGTCTTAATTTTAATTCATGTCTGTACTCTGCATGTAATAGTACATAGCTCACTTTCTGTATCCATGGGGGTATCACTGCTAAAGTTTAAAGCTGAAGCTGCTTATTTTTTCATTCGCACAAATTCAGTCTTCTAAAACCTGCTGCATCTTCAGTAGGTACCGGATTTAAGGGTTGTGTGAATTTTCCCTTAAGATAGCTATGCCATGGTGGGAAGGAGACAGTTTGCAGAAGTAACAATAACAAAAGTAAGTGAAAGATACAGTTTCACAGCAGTGTCCCCACATTTGAAGCCTTGTGCAGAAGGAAAGCTGAATGGAGTGGGACTCTGGCTAAAACTTCTGATCTCTGGTACTTGGTTATTGTTAGCTTATACACAGAGATGCGTGGCAGAAAAATTAGTAAAATACTGGAACTGGACTGTTGATTACTTCCACTTTGCTTAGCTAAAAGTCTGTGTGATGACATCTCTCTTCCTCCTGCAACTTTCTAAGACAATTTACTTTATAAGATTTAAGTGTTTTCTTCATTAAAGAGACTGCTTTTTTGGAAGAACTGTAGGATATGCAATTAGGTGACAAGCCATACATAGTGATTTGCTTGCTTACTGACAAGCTTGGTAACAGATTTCTTTTCTGGATGTGACTGGACGCTGTTCTGGGTTTTGGTTAGAATGCACGTTTATTGGTTAGTTAATCAGAGCTTACCTGTTCCTTCATGTTAATCACTGCTGAGATTAGCTTGCTAAATCTACTCCAGAAATATTAGTGAATTTGCCTTTCGACTGCCAGTGTTCTAATGCAGGTTGGTTGATGTTTAAACTGAATGTAAAATTTGGAGATTTCTGCTTTCTTGGCTAGATGTGCTGCTTGCGTTCTCTGAGCTTTAAAGATACAGTATTTTAGGCAAATTCATTTTTTCAGTTGTTCGGCTTAGACCTAAATAAACCTTAGTAGTGCACCTGGAGAAGACTTAATATAACCCCATGTATATAGATAAGTTCCTTAGCTCTTTAGATTTGCTGCTGCGTTAAAGAGCACATCTGACTAGTATTTGGGCATTGTTAGTCACTTTTTGCCATAAGACGTATTTTGAAAACCCGTTTTCATGGTAAGCTGGGTAGTTTGTGCAACAAAACTCATTCTACATCATCTGGGCCGGAAGGGGTTATTTTCAGCTCTTTCGTTAGAATCTTCCTTTAAAGATGCTAATGTGTATTTAATTAAAAGCACAAAGTACAGTTTGAAAATATATTATCTTTTAAACAAACTGAACTTTAGGGAGAATGTAGCTGTTAAAAAGAAAAACTGGCAGTATTTTAAGTAAATCTTCAGTAAGATCTGAATCAAGTTTTCAATAAATGCTGGGAGGTGAAGGGGTTTGGTTTTGTTTAGAGAATGGCACTTTACTAAGCTATTATGTTCTGTTAGTTTTTTCTTTAGCCTACCTTCTCCTTACACCCTAGATCTTAACAAACATATATGCTTTGAAACTTCCAATGTTGTGGTTTGAAATATATTTCTCTGGAAGCATACTTCCTGAAAATTACTGCTGCGCAAAATATAAGCTAATACTAGAGAAGACTTGTTTTGAAGTGTCATGCAGTGAGATATAGATGTGTCCTATATCCACATAGTTTACTGAAGATCAGGATTACGATAAGGGGAAGTTCAGTAAGACCTCTTTCATGTATTTTGAAGGCTCCTTATTGTTTCTAAAAATAAATCTCCTGTGATTTCAAATTCACTTGTAAGTCAGTTTATGAAAGGCCGATGTGAAAACAAATGTTTCCAAGTCTGAGGATATTTGTTCCAAGCTTACTGCAAATGTTTTGATGTCCTCAAATGTTCCGGAGAGTCTTGGAACTTGTGAAGTATGTGCCTTAAAACAGGTCAGTAATTAGATAATTAATACTGATTGTGGTAGATTTGAAGGTGCAGGAAAGAGTTCTTGCTTTACCTGGCAGTGGTGTGTCTGAGCCGTGAGAACTGTAAAAGAAGAGACAGTCTTGAGTGCAGTTCTGTTGCAGCAGTTTCTCCCAACAGGCTGGAATTTTAAGAGGTCTGCCCTGAAATGCTTGCAAAAATTGTTTAAGGTTTCTCAGGTAGTAATTCACTCGAATCGGTATTTATCAAAACTAAGTGATTTACTTTAGTCTGAAGCAAGAGCTATTCTGTGTGAATGCAGTTCTTGAATAGCAGTGTGTTCAAGGGAGACGTAAAGAAAAAGGGGGAGACTTTTTTGCATCAGTTATATTTCATTATTTTTTTTGCCAGTTGAATTCTTCCTCCTGAGTTGATGCTGCTTCAGTCCCTACTAATTTGCTAATATGAAGGCTAGAAAAATCAGTCAGTCTAAATCTGAAAGCCAGGCTCCCATTGTTAATACTTTTAAGTATAAAATTCATAGAGTAGTTTCAGATTAGTAATGTACCCTGAATTGCAGTATTTGTTTACAATTTGTTCATTGCTGTATTACCTCTTGAATGTTCTGTTTTGTACCAGTCTTTAGAACAAAGGAGAAAGAATCGAGTGGCCCTTCGTGGTTGAAACAGTTTCTGTCTATGTACCTTGATTCTCCTCTGCTACATACCTCTTTACTTGATGCCGGCCCCTCTCTACTGCAGATGATCTGCCCTCTCAGGGAGGAATATGCCCATGCCTTAAATTTACATGGAAACATCGACATTAATTTTAAGTAAAACAAGTAATTCATGTATTTAGAAGTAGGTGGAAGTGATCAGGTAGACTGCTATATACCATTGTTTGACTCTAACATAGTGTTAAATTCTGGAAGGCTTTTTTTTCTGGACCTCAGGCTGAAAATATACATTTAGGCAGCATCTGCCTTTCCAGACCATGAAGACAGCTGTAGAAACAAGTGGAAAAGATTATAGTAAGTGATAACAAAACGTACTGACTCTCTTCAGACCTTAAGGACTCAATGCCTTTCTCTGCTCAGTTATGTATGTTAGAATAGCTGTGTGGGTTGTAGAAGAATTGCAATTAGTATCTGGACCTGTTCAGTGTTTGTTCAGTCTTCTGAGCAGAAAGCAGGCTCTGGTGAGGAGTATTGGTGCTCCTTAAATGTGGCAGGAATCTGATCGCCCTGCTGCTTAAGATACACGTGTGGCAAAGGAAAGATTCTTCAGACTCGTTGCCTACCCAAGTAGGAGGATATCAACCCTTTATTGGAAAGTTCCTCTAACCCTGAAAACTGTTGAACTATTGAGCTATATATATGTGTGTTAATTTTATATATATGTGTATAAAAATATAATTTTTATATATGTAATGTTCTGCTTTATGTAGAGTTATGTCAGTCGATTCTTTTGGCAATAATGAAAATAGGTGCAACAAGTAAAGAACAGCCAACTCGTGCACATTCTTCGGTACATAAGCAAGTTTTATTGCCAAGATGCAAATTTATTCAATGTTTCAGCTTGAACTGTTCTTCAAAGCTGGACTAACGATACCTTGAAGTCTGAAGTCTCACTACTGTTTAATACCTCCCCCTGCAAAAACCTACCAAAAAAAAAACCCCTCAGTATTGTGCTTTAAAAGGAACTTCTGTTTTTAACATGTCTGAAGAGGCCTTCAGTCTAAGGAATAGTTTCAAATATCTAGTGGTATATTATCTGATGTGTTAACACTAGATACTTTTTGAGTGAGAAAAGATTCAAGTTGCAGTAGAGTAAATGTTGCTCTCTAGCCTCTTCTGTTAATCACTTAATTAAAAGTTAGTTTTCTTTTAACACTTTTCGGCTCAAATCATAACCTTCTTTAAATGATAGGGCTGTTGAAATGTCTTTCATGTTTATCACTAGCTGTTGTTACCGTTCTAAATTCTCAAATCAAGGTGTAGAAGCAAGTTTCATTCTTAGTAAGATTTCAGACGCTTATGCCCCTCCTTATCCACATAAAGTAGATCAGGCCCTTTGAGATAGTGATATATGTGTCTTTGTACTCTTAACATTTAACAAATAAGGTGTGTGTTATATTGGGGTTTTTTTGGTAGCAGTGCCAAAAATGTGCGCTGTGCTTTGTTAGAGACCGTGTTGTCAGCAAAACTGCTGCTGGACCTCTACGAAGAGCAATGCTAATTTGAATAATAAAGCTCAAAAAAATAGAAGAGACTAAGACAACTTGAAGAGTGAAAAGGGTCTCTAGTCAGCGAAGGAACTAAGGAACTGAAGCTGCTTTGGACTTCCTATCATTAGGTGCTTTTGCTGCTTTCGACTTGAATGGGTTGAAGGGACTTGAATTTTACAGTAGTGAATTTTCTTGGTACTGAGAGAGATCCAAGTGCCACCCAGGGTCAGACCAAATTCTGTGCAGCCTGGCGTCCTGCCTAACAGAACAGATGCTGCTTTGAGGAGTGTGCAGGAACAATG